GCTCTGGATTCTGTGGCTTCCTCTCTCTCTGCCCCTCCTCACTTGTACTCTATCTCTCTCAAAATAAATAAACATTAAAATTTTTTTAATTAAAATAATATCAAAACACCTGATAGAATCATTTGCAGTGATTAGAAAATGACTTGATTGGGGCGCCTGGGTGGCGCAGTCGGTTAAGCGTCCGACTTCAACCAGGTCACGATCTCACGGTCCGTGAGTTCGAGCCCCGCATCAGGCTCTGGGCTGATGGCTCGGAGCCTGGAGCCTGTTTCCGATTCTGTGTCTCCCTCTCTCTCTGCCCCTCCCCCGTTCATGCTCTGTCTCTCTCTGTCCCAAAAATAAATAAACGTTGAAAAAAAAAATTTAAAAAGAAAATGACTTGATTAACATTGAGCTACCACCTCACAGCAGTCAGTGTCTAAAATTAACAACTCAGGAAACAACAGATGCTGGCGGTGATGTGGAGAAACGGGAACCCTCTTACACTGGTTTTGGGAATGCAAACTGGTGTAGTTGCTTTGGAAAACAGTGTGGAGTTTCCTCAAAAAATTAAAAATAGAATTACCCTACAACCCAGCAATAGCACTTTGGATTTATCCAAAGGATAGAGGAGTGCTGATTCACAGGGGCACATGTACCCCAATGTTTATAGCAGTGCCATCAGCAATAGCCAAATTCTGGAAAGAGCCCAAATGTCCATCAACTGATGAATGAATAAAGATGTTGCGGTTTGTATATACAATGGAATACTACTTGGTAATGACAAGAATGAATTCTTGCCATTTGCAACAACGTGGCTGGAACTGGAGAGTATTATGCTAAATGAAATAAGTCAGTCAGAGAAACACATGTTTTCACTCATGTGGAATTTGAGAAACTCAACAGAAGACTATGGGGGAAGGGAAGGGGAAAAAATAGTTTCAAACAGAGAGGGAGGGAGGCAAACCATAAGAGACTCTTAAATACAGAGAACAAACAGGGTGGATGGGGAGATGGCAGGAGGGAAGGGAGAAAAGGGTGATGGGCATTAAGGAGGGCACTTGTTGGGATGAGCACTGGGTGTTGTATATAAGTGATGAATCATGGGAATCTACTCCCGAAACCAAGAGTACACCGTATGTACTGTATGTTAGCTGACTTGCCAATATATCATATTTAGAAGAAAAAAATAAAATAGATAAAGAAAATAACTTGGTTAAAGCTCTGTTGTACCCCCTTAGGAAAAGAGTCAGACTTGGGTCAATTGGCAACCTTTCATTTGTCTTCTGCCCTATGAGCCCAGCATATCTGGCACCAGAAGGGGTTGTGAGTGTTATTCATATATGAGATATTGTCTAGCAAGGGCAACTAGAGGCATAATTAAAGATTAAAATTGGGAATTTTGTATAATTATTTTTATTTTGAAATACAGACTCTTGAGCTGTGGAGGAAATTGGTATCGACCTCTAAATAGTCATGCTGCTCTGCTAGACAAATATTGGACCAAAATTCACATGGATAACATGGATAAGAAAGAACTGAATGAGGTATGTCGTTATTAGTGAGAAAGTACAGATGTTTTTCTTTAGTTTTTATTGTTAAAAGTTCCAGATATACATGTAAATAGAGGAAATGGTGTAATGAATCACCAAAATACTCATTAATAGTTAATGTACTAACATTTTACTGTACTAACTTCATCTGGTATTTATTTGCGAATATATTGGAAAGCAAACGTTTCATACTTATGCATCTCTAAAAACTTAAATGCATTTTCATGCGTAATCACAATAACTTTATTATACTCTATAAAATGAACAGTAATTCCTCAGTACCATTTTTTTTAAGGTTTATTTATTTATTTTGAGAGAGAGCGCATGTGTGCAAGCATGAGCAGGCGATGGACAGAGAGAGAGGGAGAGAATCTCAAGCAGGCTCCTCACTGTTAGTGTAGAGCCTAAAGTAGGGCTCAAACCCACGAACTGTGAAATCATGACCTGAGCTGAGATCAAGAGTCAGACACTCAACTGACTGAGCCACCCAGGTGCCCCATCCTCATTACCATATAATTCTCAGAGTGTATTTTTCTCCATTGTTTCCAAAGAACTTTTTTTGTTTACTAAGTTGTTTTGTAACTAACGTCTTTAACACCCAGCAACTTAGTGTACATTGTGTTCCGGGTATTAATGAAAATTGAGATAAATTATTATTTTTTTTATTTTCCACATTGATTCACTTTAGTTTTTGCTGGTTATCCTTAATCATTATGAGGTGTACCTCTCTTCACCCTGCTAACCTCTCATTTTCCCTTTGTATCTACTCCCTCATTTGGAAAGCTTCCTAATCTGCAATGCTTCATCTTAGAGAAATGCATTGTCAGTGATCATTCAGGCATGGGAAGGATGGGAAGGATGCTTTACTCTTGGTATAAGTTTTTATTTAAATAAGTGACAAGACAACGTTATCAAATATTTTAGTTGTTTATTAGCAGAGGGGGTTTTTCAGGGCGGTATCTACTTCACCATATTACTGGAGAAGGCTTGATCGTGCAATCTCTCAGAAGCCTTCTCTTGCCAGTGTGATGATTTTTTTTTTTTTTATAACTCTGCAGCCTGTTTTGGACTTGTGAATTTCTTATCTTACTCTGGTTCCCAGGTGTCTTATTTCTGTGTATGTCTTTCCCCATTTTGCTGCCCGCAGCAGTAGCCCCTCCAGTGTCCCCAGCATCCACTATGCCTGCCATTTGTAATTGTTTGGTGTATTACTGTGTTATCATGTAGCTCTTTTCTTTTGCAGTTGTAGACCTTTGAATGTTTAGTTTTCATTCCTAAATTGCCATCTGTTCTTTAAAAAGGACTGAAGTTCGCATTTAGGTGTGATTTTTTTGGGGATTGAAAGGATCAGAACAGCATTTACAGCTACTTTATTTTTTTTTCACTTGTGTTCTTAAAGTAAAAGCCAAAGCTCATCTTTCCATTCCTGTCATGAGCAGCTGTGAGTCATTCTGTTCACAGGACGTACCATAGGAGCATTCACCTCATCACTTATATGAAGTATATCATATTTAAATAGTTGACCTTGAGAGGCTCACTTGTTATTTTTAAACTTCTGGACTTACTAATAAATTCTTATTCACCTGAATAAGTGACTGGTGGCGAAAACACTTGTGTATATTAGTTAGAAAATACAGTAATCTCCTATGCTGACCTCATGGGAAGTATAAGGAATTGCATTTCTATTGCTGTCACCCCCACTTATTTTATGCTTAGAAGGCTGTCTTTGACGTCTTGCTGAAATAACAAATTATATTTTAAAAATTAACTATTTACACACTTATATGGTGGAATTACTACTCAGCAGTAAAAAGGACTAAACTAGTGATACACGAAGTGGTGTTTAGATGATTCTCAAAAACAATAGCTGAGTAAGAGAAACCAAACTACACGCTCCATCCTATATGATTACGTGTATGTGACAGACTTGAAAGCAGAACCATAGGGATTGGATTCTGATTCCTGATTCCCACAGGCAGGGGTGTGGGGGAAGGGACTGACTGCAGAAGCGACATGAGGGAACTGTTTGTTTAAGGGGTGATGAAAATAGTCTATATTTTGTGGTGACCAAGGTCATGAATATATATGACCAATTTTATAAATGTTCCATCCCTACACAAAAATTTATATTCTGTATTTAAAAAACCTGTGTGTGTATCCATTTAATTGAATTTATTGATTTTGTTATTTTTCTGTTTTCATTTTTAATCCATATTCAATGTTTTCAGCAATATTTGTTGTAAAATCCTTCAGTAAAACAACATGAAGAAGTAAAATCTATGAGATCTGCCACTTCAGATGACATTTGTTAAAAGGTTTTAGTTGTTTATCTTTGTAAATATGTGTATATTACATAATACAGAGTAAGTGCATCTTTCATATACAAATTGGAATGACAATATACCTTCAAGGTAACTTAAATGTATTGGATGACAATATTTCTTTTCTTTAAAAATTTTTTTTGTATTAACTATACACCTGATGTGGGAACTGATGACCCCAAGATCAAGTGCCACATGTTCTACTAACTTAGCCAGCCTGGTGCCCCGGATGACAGTATTTCTAATATATACATATTTCCCTTCCTTTTAAAATAGACTTGCTGAATAAGTCCATATCATAAAACCTTGGAACCAATATCATGAGCACTAATTATCATTCTGCAGAAAATTTTCAATAGTTATTGAAGTGAATAGGACTACATCTTTTGCCTTTTAATTTCTGTTGTTTGCTTTTTTTAATTTTAATTTTATTTGTTTTAAAGTTTTTTTTTTAAGTTTATTTATGTATTTTGAGAGAGACAGAGAGAGCACACACGTGCAGGCAGGGGAGGGGCAGAGAGAAAGGGAGAGAGAGCATCCCAAGCAGGCACTGCTGTCAGCATAGAGCTGGAGGAGGGCGTTGAATCCACGAACTGCGAGATCATAACCTGAGCTGAAACCAAGAGTTGGACAGTTGGATGCCCAGCCGACTGAGCCACCCAGGTGCCCCTGTTGTTTGCTTTTAAAAAAATTTTTTTTTTCAACGTTTATTTATTTTTGGGACAGAGAGAGACAGAGCATGAACGGGGGAGGGGCAGAGAGAGAGGGAGACACAGAATCGGAAACAGGCTCCAGGCTCTGAGCCATCAGCCCAGAGCCTGACGCGGGGCTTGAACTCCCGGACCGCGAGATCGTGACCTGGCTGAAGTCGGACGCTTAACCGACTGCGCCACCCAGGCGCCCCTGTTGTTTGCTTTTTAAAGATCAATTGCTTTTTATCAGTACTTAACATTAATCGTTTTAGTGTGGTTTGGTTTTACACACTTCCTTTCTCTTTTCCTATTAACTGCTTCTGATTGCATTTGCGGAGAAATGACATAACAAACCTTACTAGAATTTCGTTTAAAATCAGAGTAAGTATTGGGGCGCCTTGGTGGCTCAGTCAGTTGAGCCTCTGTCTGACTCTTGATTGCGGCTCAGGTCATGATCTCAACACTTAGTGAGTTGAGCCCCGCATTTGGCTCTGCGCTGGCAGCATGGAGCCTGCATGGGATTCTCTCTCTTTCCTCTCTCTCTGCCCTTCCCCAACTCACGATATTTCTATCTCTCAAAATAAAGTTAAAAATTAGAGTAGGTAGTACTTGCAGGATTTTTCAGTGAGTCAGTTCCTAGGACTTGGATGTATATGTTGCTTGGACACCCTTTTACCATCTGGCTTCTACACCCTAGGTTGTGTAAATGGTGACGTTGCCAGATAACTGCGTTTGGCTAGGAAAAAAAGTTGTGGTCTTTGAGGGCGACAGGGGTGTGGGTATTGGCATAAGTTCTTACACAGTAGTTCCCCCTTATCCCTGTCACTTTTTGTTCTTTCAGCTACCCATGGTCAACCTCAGTCTAGATGGTCCTCCTTCTGATGTTGTCAGAAGGCCAGAAATAGCCTGACAGTATGTCACAATGCCTGTGTCATTCATCTCACTTTATCTCATGTAGACATTTTATCATTTTACGTTATCGTAGTACAAAATATATTGAATAATTTTTTTTTTTTAATTTTTAATGTTTTTATTTTTGAGAGAGAGACAGAGCGTGAGTGGGGAAGGGGCAGAGAGAAGGAGACACAGAATCGGAAGCAGGCTCTGTTCTGACAGCTCAGAGCCTGACGCGGGGCTGGAACTCACAAACTGTGAGATCATGACCTGAGCTGAAGTCGGACACTTAACCAACTGAGCCACCCGGGTGCCCCAGTACAAGATATATTGAGAGACCACATTCATATAATGTTTATTACAGCATATTGTTATAATTCTATTTTATTATTAATTATTGTTAACTTCTTACTATGCTTAATTTATAAATTAAACTTGATCATAGGAATGTCTGTTTTGGAAAAAAACAGTATAGGGTTTCATACTAACTGCAGTTTCACGTATCCACTGGGGTCTTGGGACGTATCCCCTGTGGATAAGGGGGGGACAACTGTACTTGGTAAAATTTTAGAGGGAAATTCATTTTTTGGTTGACTAATATCAGCAGGAGTTCACATGTGCTTTTAAAAATCACTGTGTCTGCTGCTAAATTTTCTTTGCTTTTTTTCCTCCCTCTGTCAGGTTCTTCAGAACATATATCCCAGCCTCTTGGCAGTAACTGATCACTTGCTTGACATTTACATCCAAATTACTGGAGAGAAACATCACTCTCAGAATGATAGTTCTGTTACATGTGAACAGGCACCTGAGGAAGTTTCAGAAGCCAGAAGAGAAAACAAAGGACTAAGCCTTGAGGGAAGAGAGTTGTCTCTAAGGTACTGGATTAAACCTTGAGTGTATACGTATATATATTTTTAAATTTTAGAGTGAGAGTAGGGGAGAGAGGCAGAGGGAGAGAGAGAGACTCCTAAGCAGGCTCCATGCTCAGTGTGGAGCCCAACATGGGGCTCGATCCCACAACCCTGGGATCATGGCCTGTGCCAAAATCAAGAGTCAGACACCCCACTGACTGAGCCACCCAGACAACTCAAGTTGATATTCTATTTATTCATCTTTTAAGTAGGCTCCATGCCCAATGTGTGGCTTGAACCCTTGACCCCAAGGCCAGGAATCCCATACTCCACTGACTGAGCCAGCCAGGTGCCTCCTGAGTTGATGTTTGATTGATTGATTGATTGATTGATTGATTTTTAATGATTATTTATTTTTGAGAGAGAGAGTGTGCTCAAGAGCGCAAATGGGGGAGGGGCAAGCAGAGAGGGGGACATAGAATCTGAAGCAGGCTCCAGGCACCGAGCTGTCTGCCCAGATCCTGATGCGGGGCTCGAACTCACAAGCCATGAGATCATGACCTGAGCCAAAGTTGGATCCTAACCAACTGAGCCTCCCAGGCACCTCTTGAGTTGATATTGTAAAAATTCCTTCCCTTTAAAGTTCTTAGCAACTAGCACTAAATGGTTATGAGGGGTCAGGTTTTGAAATTAGACCTGTGAACTGCTTCATGGTGTACAATCCTGTTTTCAGATCTTACAGTTAATCATTGAGAAGGCTTATTATAGGTAATGTTATTTTAGCTTTAAAAAGTAACTTTGGGGGCACCTGGCTGGCTCAGTTGGTAGAGCATGGGACTCTTAAACTCAGAGTCATGAGTTCAAGTCCCATATTGGGCATGGCGCCTACTTAAAAAAAATTTTAAAAGAAAAAATAATAACTGTATTTAAAGAAAAATCTGTATTTATTTGGGGGGTGCAGAGAAAGGGAGAAGAATTCCAAGCAGGCCCTGCGCAATCAGCATGGAGCCTGATGCATGGCTTGATCTCACAAACTGAGTCACATGCTTAACTGACTGAACCACCCAGGCACCCCCAAAAAATAACTTTAGAAGGTTGGGACTAGTTACTGACATAATTCTTTCACTAGCTTTTTTTGTTGTTGTTACATTTGGGGTCATAAATAAGACTCGGATTTTGCTTATATGTATGGGTTCTGGGCCTTTGCTTTCTTTTCTTGATGGTTGACTTGCCCTTTAAGAAGTGAGCATTAGAAATGGACAGTTCCCCTCAGTTTGCTCTGAGAATTTATTGGCCACCCCTCAACCTTGTTTGGCATGGATTGGGGTAAAATGAATGATAGATCACTTCCTGGTAGGGGTAGGGAGTGGGACCCCCTCACTTATTCTTTCCACTGCTCTGTTTATTTTCACAATGTCAGAGTTACAGTGAGACTTCATTGTCTGGTGTCTCCAGACTTAAGTGGATTGAATTTAACGCTGATGTCTTTGTTGTCTATGACCTATGGTCTTTTATTTCCTGGCTTTTTTTTTTTTTTTTTTTTTAAAGGGATCTACTGAATTGGTGTAATAGGATCGTTCATAGCTTTGACAGTCTGTCTTCATCAGCATCCTTAAATATTTTTCAAGAGGTAAGAGAATCTTCAGAATCTTCCTGTTTGTTTTCTCTGTACTCTATAAGGCTATTGATTTTCATTTTTATTTTCTGTCTCTTGGCTGCTATCAGGATTTTTCTTTTGTGTTTATTATTCCTAGCTAGTTAAAACCAAACTAATGTCTTAAAACTGTGCATAATAAATGTTTGGTTTTGAAACAGGTTACTACTAATAACAAATAAGTATAGTTTGGGTAGAGTAAAACAGACACTGAAATTAAAGATAAATAAAAACAAAATCTCCCAGGTGATAAGAGTGTTGTAAAATGTAGCGTTTCTAAAATGTTTAGTATTTAAGGGTCCCTGGCTGGCCCAGTATAGCATCTTGATCTTGGGGTAGTGGTTTTGAGCCTCACATTGCGTGTGGTGCCTACTGAAAAAAATGTTCAATATTTATTCCTAGATATAATTTCATAGTCTGTCTGATAGAGTTTTATTTGTCTGATCCCTCCACTAGTCTCTGTAGGACCTTTTAACTTTGTTCAGAAAAATTTATGTGGGGGTTGCAAAGTATAGCCTTGTATGCTGGGCTTGGGGAAAAAATGTGTTATGTGGGAGTGAAACCCTATTGAATTACAACTCTGCCATATTTTAGAGTTAGAGATTTGTTCCTGCCTGTTGAGGAATAAAAGTGATACTGCCTGAAGATTTGTGGGCTCTTAAAGCACTGACCACTTTTGATTAGAGTTTAGTCCCTGCAGCTGTTTCCAATTTTCCACTTTCTCTCCAGCTGCTTTTGGGGAGGGGTGCTTTTCCCATATTCTCCCCTCCTCAGTCTCCGTCCTCACTCCGCTCGCAAAAGCACCTCCCTTCCTGCACCTTCTCGCTCCCCAGGTTCACTTCTCCGTGCCGCATACCTGCTGAATTCTGTGGTTCAGGTTGTGCAGATTGTTGTGTTAATCCTCCAGTCAGTTTTCTAGGTGTGTAGGATGGTTTAGTGTTGGTCTGGCTGTATTTCATGGACGCGAGACACACAAAAAACTTCCATGCTGTTCACCATCTTGGCTCCTCTAACCACTTTTGATTATAAAGTGTTGTGGTTTCTGTTAGCTAGGATTGAGGAGAGTTTACAGTGTCTTGTTGTGTTTGGCAGTTAGCTTGAGTAGAAAGAAACCACATATGGAGTTCACACTTACGGGGAGCCGAACCTGAAATGCTGTGTGTCAGTCCTTGCTTGAATTTCGATCTTCTCTCCCATGAACTTGCCTTCTCATTCCCCTAAATTTCTCATTTTTCTAAGAAAAACTTTGTTTTTTATTTAAAAAAAATTTTTTTTAACATTTATTTATTATTGAGAAACAGAGACAGAGCATGAGCGAGGGAGGGGCAGAGAGAGAGGGAGACACAGAATCCGAAGCAGGCCCCAGGCTCTGAGCTGTCAGCACAGAGCCCTATGCAGGGCTTGAACCCACGAACCACAAGATCATGACCTGAGCCGAAGTTGGACGCTTAACCAACTGAGCCACCCAGGCACCCCTGTTTTATATTTTTAAAATAAAACTGTGGCATTAATAGGATTCCTATTATCTTTAGTCTCTGTTTTAGAATGTCATTCTGTGTGTTTGCATAGAACCACTTTATTGAGATATAATTCACATACCATAAAATCCACTCTTTTATTAAAGTTTGCAACTCAGCATTTTTTACTGTATTCACAGAATTATGGAACCATCACCACTATCTAATTATAGAACTCTCTCTAATTGCATCACCCCAAAGGAAAACCATGTACCCATTAGCCATTATCCTCATTTTCCCCTCTCTATATCCCCTGGCAACCACTGATCTACCTTTTGTCTATAGATTAGCTAAATTTGGACATTTCATATAAATGGAATCATACAATACATGACTCTTTGTATCTGGCTTCTTTGACTCCGCTTATTTTCTCGGTTAATCCATGTTGTAGCATGAGTTAATACTTCATTCTTTTTTTTTGGCTGAATAACATTTTACTGTATCAATATATCACATTTTGTTATCCATTTATTTGTTAATGGATATGTGGGTTATCTCTACCTTTTGGCTACCTGAATAATGCTGCCCTGAACATTTGTATACAAGTACTTTATTAATATAGAAACAGTATATATGTATTGTTGAAAATGGGAAAATGTAGGAAAGCAAAGTGATAAAAATATTCTTTCATTCAGAGGTACTCCAGCACTTTTAACACCTTGGTGTATCTCCTTCCAGATATTTTTCCTCTTTTTTAAGATTTTATTTTTAAGTAATTTCTATATCTAATGTGGGGCTCAAACTCACAACCTGGATATCAAGAGTCACATGCTTTACTGACTGAGCCAGCTAGGCGCTCCCAGACTTTTTTCTGTGCATATAAGCTTAAGAATGCTTTTACTATCAGGGTTCCCCTCTTTACAGATACTATCTTGTTTTTTTTTTTTAATTTTATTTTTAATGTTTATTTGTTTTTGAGAGAGACCATGAGTGGGGAGGGGCAGAGAGAGAGGGAGACACAGAATCCAAAGCAGGCTCCAGGCTCTGAGCTGTCAGCACAGACCCCAGCATGGGGCTTGAAGCCACAACTGTGATATCATGACCTGAACTGAAGTTGGATACTTAATTGACTGAGCCACCCAGGCGCCCCTAGAGATATTATCTTGTTGAAGAGATCAGGCCCATTTTGCAGAATGTTCCACCTTTTGGCTTTATCCTGTTGCTTCTTCATTGCTCTGACACCAGCTGGTGTTCTGTAATTCAATCCAGTTCTGATACTGACTATCTCGAGTTAGTGTAGACCCTACAGGTCAAGGGTGCAGTTCTCTAGAAGACTGCCCCCATTTTAGACTCAGGCTGCAAGTCTTGGTGGCTACTCTCACTTGTGACCTACCAACTATAAATTCAGGGGTTCCCACGATGTGTCATGATCAGTAACCCACAGAACTCATTGAAAACACTATACTTACAGTATACGTAATAGTTTTATTATAAAAGGTATAACTTAAAGACAGTCAGATGGAGGAGACAAAAAGGGCGAAGTTTCAAGGATCCTGATTATACAGTAGCTTCTGTTCCTTTGGAGTCAGGGTGTGCTACCTTCCTGGTTCATTAGTATGTCCACCAACAAGGAGGTTCTCTGAACTTTGGATGTCCAGTGTTGTTGTTGTTGTTGTTGTTGTTGTTGTTGTTGTTTTAATATTATTTATATTCAGAGAGATAGACCGTGAGTGGGGGAGGGACAGAGAGAATCCCGAGCAGGCTCCCTGCTGTCAGCTCGGAGCCCTATGCGGGGCTCTATCTCATGAAATATGAGATCAGGACCTGAGCGGAAATCAAGACTTGGAAGCTTAACCAACTGAGCCACCCATGGCTTTTATTGGGGTCTTCTGTCATTGTCCATATGATAGAGCTCAATCTCTAGCCCCTCCTCCCACTCCAGAGGGTAGAACTTTCAGCTCCACCCCTCCAGTAAGTGCTGGGTCTTTCTGGCCAGACCAGCCCCTCCCTCAAACTGCCTAAGGGTCCATCAGGAGTCACCTTGTTTATTAGCATAATAAACTCAAATATGATCCAAAGGGGCCCTAGTAAATAACAAAAGACACTTCTTACTCTTGGTAATTCCAAGGGTTTTTGAAGCTCTGTGCCAGATACTAGGGACAAGGACTGGATAAGTTCCCTCTCTTTAAAAAAAATTTTTTTTAACATTTATTTATTATTGAGAGGCAGAGAGAGACAGAGCATGAGCATGGGAGGGGCAGAGAAGGGGGAGACATAGAATCTGAAGCAGGCTGCAGGCTCTGAGCTGTCAGCAGAGCCTGATGCATGGGTCAAACCCATAAACCACGAGATCATGACCTGAGCCGAAGTCGGATGCTCAACCAACTGAACCACCCAAGCGCCCCAAATTTTATTGATATTTTAACATTTGGTTGGTGGTGGCAGAACCAAATGTATTCTTTGTTTGCCACACTCGTGGTATCCTTTCCGTTGTCATTTTATCTCTTATCTTTCCTGTAAATGGAAATTTAACAAATGCGCAATGTATTCAAATTCAGACTTTTTTAAAAAAAATTTTTGTTAATGTTTATTTTTGAGACAGAGGGAGACAGTGAGAGTGGGGGAGGGGCAGAGAGAGAAGGAGACACGGAATCTGAAACAGGCTTCAGGCTCTGAGCTGTCAGCACAGAGCCCGATGTGGGGCTTGAACCCATGAACTGTGAGATCATGACCTGAACCAAAGTCGGACGTTCAACCGACTGAGCCACCCAGGCGCCCCTCAAATTCAGACTTTTTGGGTAGACTCTTTTTTTGGTGGTGATATGTACTTTATATTTCATTACATCAGGAGACACATATCTGGTTGGCCTATCAGAAGTTGCTGAGATTGAGTACTGGATTAGGGTAATGACAATGTGATTTTTTTATTGTGCAGCAAGAATTTACCTTTACAGCTAGAAATTAATCTTTTGGTGTTACTTCCACTGTAGAGTCAGATTTGTAAAATGAGACTTAAAATTTTTTCCCAGTTAACCAGTATTTTGATAGTAAAGGCTTCACATTTGTTTGTGTCTTGTCTCTCTTATGATAAGGTCCTTGATGCTAGAGCTGGTACTTTATTTCTACTCTCCTTACTTTTACAGAAATGTTCCTGCTGGGTTTTATGTTCTTTTTGTGGCCAGGATAGTGGCACTGTGTTATTAATACAGTATTTTAAAAAGTCAGTCGGCATTGACCTTGGTTATTTTAATAGGCTCTGGACTGTTTCACAGCAATGCTTTCTAAGCATACAAGCAAACTGAAAATGGCAGAAGTCATTGGAAGCAAATTGAACATTTCCAAGAAAAAGGTACGTAGTACTATTTTTGCTTCTCTGTTGAAAGGAAGCTGGGTTATTTAGTTTATTTGCTAGTCTCTGGTCCTTACCTAGAACAGCTCCTTTGCAATAACTACCTCCTCTGAAAGTTGGTAGTTTCATTGCTCCCTTTCATGGACATAAAGCTCTCACTATCTTCTAAATAACTAATTCTCCATGTGTTCTACATTCTTCTTTTTTTTTTTTTTTTAATATTTTTTTTATTACGTTTCTTTATTTTTGAGAGGCAGAGAAAGACAGAGCACAAGTAGGGGAGGCGCAGAGAGAGGGAGACACAGAATCTGAAGCAGGCTCCAGGCTCTGAGGTGTCCGCACAGAGCCCGATGCGGGGCTCGAACTCATGAATCGTGAGATCATGACCCGAGCCAAAGTCGGACGCTCAACCGACTGAGCCACCCAGGTGCCCGTCATGTGTTCTACATTTTTAAAGTGAGCTGCATTGTGCCTTATATCACATGCATGCTTTATTTTCTCTAGTGTTTTAATGAGCGTGTTCTGTAGATTGTGGACTCAGGACTGGAATTGTTTTACTAACACCTTTGCCTATAGTTTTATGCACAATTAGATTTTTTCCACCTTTTCATTATTAACATCAGAAAAGTTGAAAAGAATAGTACAAAGAATAGTACTTAGGTTCATTGATGACATTTTTAATATTTTGCCATTCTTTATTTCAAAAATTGTATTTTTGGAGGAGAGAGCTTTTTAGCAGTGGTGATGGTAGCTAGAGAACTGTCTGAGGCCTGTCTTGTGGTAGGTGGCTGGCATTCTCAAATGAATGATGACTCAAAAAAGCTTTATGTCAGGAACTGCTCCTTAGCATTCTGAACCTGTTGGGATGGTTTTGGCTGCAGGTGACAGAACACCTACTGAAAAGGGCTTACATAATAAAAGAAATGAAGTGCCTCAGTTGGCTTAGATTGATCATTATCCCTTTTGGTTGAAGAGAGATTTACTTTCCCTGAATACTTTGCTGCCCCTTCCATTCCTGACCCAAATCTAAACAAAATCTGGGTTCTTAGAGTTAGCAACAAGGATAAGAAAGAATGGCTCTTGGGTAGAGACCCTGGAGCCTCTCTGACAGCTTTTCTGTGTTTTGGCTGTGGTCAGATGTACTATGGTTTATTCAAGTCATTGTTTCCTGCATTATGTTAGAATCTAAAGCAGAGGAAAGCATAACTGAAGAAAAATCACTCTGATTTTTTTCATAAATTATAGGAGTAGAACTTTCTGTTCATTCACTATTGGAATATGTTAATATGTTCACTTTAGAGATAGGCAGATATGGGCTTATTTGAATGAATAAAAACTACCATTACAGGGAAACATTCATGATCAATGTTTTCAAATAAAACCGCAGAAATTTAGAAAATTTTTAAAAAGACATAATTAAAGTTAACTCACCTGTCTTGGAAGTAGAAAATGCTTGTTAGTAAAGGGCTAATTAGAGGGGCACAGTATCCCACATGCATGAGGAAATGTTTGAAGCGTGTACAGAATTTTTTTAAAAGATCATACAGAAGTTTACTCTTTCCCCTCCCACAGGCTGAATTTTTCTGTCAACTTTATAAACCGGAAATTGTGATCAATGAGTTAGATGTGCAAGTGGGTCGAGTGCGGCTTCTTCGGAAACAAAGTGAGGCTGTCCACATACAGAGGTAAATAGGCTCTCAACTAGTCTGAGACTGTGGGACGTTAGGAACATGATAGGAGGGTTAATCTAGCCCCCTGTCTCCAAGCAAAACGTGTGTGAATGGTGATCTCTCCCCTGTGCTGGATGGTAAGAAGCAGTACTTTCCCAAAGTATATTCTGTGAAATTAGATGTTAATAGGTGAAGGAGGTGAGGAGGGTTGTTAGGGATTTGGGACTAGCAAAGATGTATCTTTGATTTTATTCATTGTAGTGTATTTAGCAGAGTAAGCTTCCCTTGGAAGTTAGGCTAGATCCTAACGTTAGTCTGTAAATTCCTTGAATGCTGGAATGATTCTGAGATCTAGTTACCGTTCATTAAATACTTACTATACTCCTAACATTGTGCTGAGTGCTTTGCATATGTTCTTTCGTGTAGTGGTGGAAATAATTTTATGAATTAATAATTAGTGTCTTACAGCTGCCATAACAAATTACCATAACTTGGTGGCCTAAAACAACAGACATTTATTCTCTCACAGTTCTGGAGGCTTGAAGTCTGAAATCAAGATGTTGGCAGGACCATACTTCCCCTGAAGGCTTTTGCCTCTTCCTGGCTTCTAATGGCTACCAGCAGTCTTTGGTGTTCCTTGCCCCAGTAGCTGCATCCTTCCCATCTCTGTCTCCATTGTCAGATCATCTTCTTTCTTGTGTGTGTTTGTGTTTCTAATTCTCTCTTTTTGTAAGGATACTAGTCAATGGATTTAAGGCTCACCCTTAAAGCCAGTATGATAGGATTTTAACTTTGTTATAGCTGCAAAGACCCTCTTTTCCAAATAAGGTCACATTCACACCTTCTGGGTGGACATGAATTTTGGGGGAAGGCTATTCAACCCACTACAAATAGTCACTCTTACCTAAATTTTATAGGTGAGGAGATGAGGGCTAAGAGAGGCTAAGTAATTTGCCGAAGATGACATAGCTAGTGCAGATAATGTCTTACCTTATGGGTGTTTTGATTCTCCAGAGTCTAGTAAAGTACTAGGTGTATAAATACTCAATGTTTGTAGAATGAATGAACAAATTCTGCGATTCCTAGGTTGTAAGGATATCTGTTTATAGCATCAAGACAGCTATTGTCAGTTCTCTTCTCATTTTTGTGGAGTCCGGAAAATCTGGTTCCTACACTGAAAGAAACTTGTAGTCTGTTTCTCTAACTGCTTATTTGTTTTCCCCTTCCCAGGGAGAAGTTCACGTTTGCTCCCACAAGGCCATCCTCCATTCTTATCGAACAGCTTGCAGTGTGTGTTAGCAAAGGGGAACCGGTATTACTGGTGGGAGAGACTGGGACTGGCAAAACCTCTACTGTCCAGTACTTGGCTCACATTACAGGTAACTTAGAGGAGAAACATTCTGCCCCCACACAATAAACATTTCACACTGTCTGCCTTTTTTTTTTCTTAAATAAAATGTCCAAAAAATACTGGAGTTTAAAAAGTGCCACCTCACCACTGCCTGGAAGTAACCACTGGAAATTTTTTCCTTGGAAGTAATGTAATTTTTTTCCCCTGGAAATAACTACTGTTACAGCCTAGCATTATCTTTTTCAGTTTATTTGTTTATCTGTTTTTAAGCTTATTTATTTACCTGGAAATAGAAAGCAAGAGCTGGGGTTGGGCAGAGAGAGAGCTAGAGAGAGAATCCCAAACAGGCTCCATGCTGTCAGTGCCTAGCCCAATGTGGGGCTTGATTCCACAACCATGAGATCATGACCTGAGCCAAAACCAAGAGTTGGACACTCAACTGACTAAGTCACTCAGGTGCCCCAACTGTTTCCAGTTCTCACCTATGGTCTGCAAATATATAAACGTTTAAGTTTGGATTTGTGTTGAAACAAATGGGATCACATTCTTATATATTGCATTTAGTTAATAAGCAAATTGGATATCTTTAAAAACAGAACTGCTTTACTCCTAATGGTTAAATAATATTACGTATTGGATGTTTATTTAATTCTAATTTATAGACATTTACTTATTGAAGGATTTTTTTGTTGTTTTCAGTTATCTGATTGTAGAGCAATAATACACAGTGAATCTTCTTGTATATCTCTCTGGGTTAGGTGAAAATTTTGAATGGTTAAAATTCCTGAAATTAAAATAAGAGGAGCAGAGGAAATGTGCCCATGTCCACACATCTTTAAGGATCACACTGGATATAATCAGTCTTGAAATTTTCAGAGTGACCCTTTTGCCCTTTCTTTTTAAAAGGCCACCATTTGAGGGTTGTCAATATGAATCAACAAAGTGACACTGCAGACTTGCTTGGAGGGTAAGTTTGTTTTAAAATTATTTTCTGGTTATTTTGAGTTCACTGCTTGAGGGAGCAAATAGTGTTTTCTTATAAAGCTCAAAATTAGCCTTAGAAAAAGGTTCAAAGACTTGCACTCCTACCCCCCACCACAGTAGGTTATTTATTGGACTTTACTGAGGACCTGTTGGATATATAGATGTTTCTCTCAATTTTAAAGAATGCTTGAGATTCTTGCTCTCAAAGATCATGCTGGAATGGAGAGGGACAAAAAAACCAAGCATGCAATTAATATTTGTGTGTACTGACATTTATCTAAAGTGTACGTTCTAGAGTCGCACTGCCTTGGAGCTAGATTCTCTCCTGCAGTTCAATTATCTTTGAAACATTAAGTAGCTCTCTACTTGGTTAAATGTTGCTCATGGGATTCCACTGTGGTCATTAAAAGGCCCTTCTTCCCTGTTGGTGTTTTTGAATATGTTAGATTCGTGATCAGTTTTAGTTTGTGCTGAAGGCTGTAAAACTGATGGATGTTTTTGGCATACCTTAAGTTGAGTGATATTGGGATCTGTCCCATTAACTCTAAACAATTGCCTAAAAAACACCCTTAAAGGCATAAAGTAGAATTTATTGCCCTTTTTGCTCTTTATGGCATCTGCCAGAAAGCTTTTCATTTATCTCTTTTTTTGAGGGTCACATTACAGCAGTTTTTATTTTTACTCTTTCTTTGTCTTATAGCCCTCCCTGCTGTGGCGGGAGTGCTACTTTGGATTCCTGCTTCCTCCTTTTACTTATATTCTCTTCTATACATATCACTAGTTATGTACTTAATTAACACTTTTAAATATATATTCTGTCTTAAGATCCATTAGCTGAGATTTATCTTTCTTTAATTCTACTTTCATTTTTTTATTTTTTCCCCAGTGATCTTTCTACCTTGTTTTTAGTTTACTTCTGTTAGCTCATTGACACTTAATCTCCTCTTTCCTTCATTGAGGTACTTGGCAATGTTTTTTTAGTGATATAATTTGTTTCTTAACTCGGTATATCTATACTACCATGTATTTCTTTCTATTTTGTATCTATATATGTCTTCAGGAATGTTCTGCTATTACATACTCCTAACACAAAAGGCTAGTCTTACAATAACTGAACATGGACTAGGTCTATTTCTTCTAAGAATTTATAGTGTTATGTCACGTCACCCATTATAAGTAGTTTTTTTTTTTAATTTTTTTTTAAAAAATTATTTTATTTATTATTATTTTTTTTAATTTACATCCAAATGAGTTAGCATATAGTGCAACAATGATTTCAGGAGTAGATTCCTTAATGCCCCTGCAGTTAGCCCATCCCCCCCCACAGCCTCAGTAACCCTCTGTTTATATTTAAGGAGTCTTTTTATGTTTTGTCCCCCTCCATATTATTTTTGCTTCCCTTTCCTTATGTTCATCTGTTTTGTATCTTAAAGTCCTCATATGATATTTCTCTTTCTCTGACAAATTTCCTTAGCATGATACCTCTAGTTCCATCTCGTGATTTACCAAATGGCAAGATTTCATTCTTTTTTTGACTGCCGAGTAATACTCCGGTGTGTGTGTGTGTGTGTGTGTGTGTGTGTGTGTGTGTGTGTGTGGCCTTTTTTACAAATCTTCTTTTCATTATTCATCCATCGATGAACATTTGGGTTCTTTCCATACTTGGCTATTATTGATAGTGCTGCTATAAACATTGGGGATTGCATAAGGCCCCTGAAAGAGCACACTTGTATCCCTTAGACAAATACAGTAAGTGCAATTGTTGGTCGTGGGGTAGTTCTATTTCCTGGTGGGAACCTCTACACTTTTCAGAGTGGCTGCCGCACCAGTTTACCAACAAGGTGCAAAAGATCCTTTCTCATTATCCCCGCCAACATCTGTTGTTGCCTGAGTTGTTAAATGTTAGCCATTCTTACAGGTGTAAGGTGGTATCTCATTGTGGTTTTGATTTGTATTTCCCTGATGATGAGTGATGTTGAGCATTTTTTCATGTGTCAGTTGGCCATCTGATCTTCTTTGGGCTATTCATGTCTTTTGCCCATTTTTTTCTGGATTATTTGTTTTGGGTGTTGAAGTTTGATTAAATTCTTTGGATACTAACCCTTTATCTGATAATGTCATTTGTAAATATCTTCTCCCATTCCATCAGTTGCCTTTTTTTTTTTAATTTTTTTTTTAACGTTTATTTATTTTTGAGACAGAGACAGAGCATGAATGGGGGAGGGTCAGAGAGAGAGGGAGACACAGAATCTGAAGCAGGCTCCAGGCTCACTGAGCTGTCAGCACAGGGAAGCCCGGCCAGGTGAACTCACGGACATGAATCATGACCTGAGCCAAAGTCAGCCGCTCAACCGACTGAGCCACCCAGGCACCCCATGCCTTTTTTTTTTTTTTAATTTTTTTAACCATGTATTTATTTTTTGAGAGACAGAGTATGAGCAGTAGAGAGGGGCAGAGAGAGAGGGAGTCACGGATTCAGAAGCAAGCTCCAGGCTCTGAGCTGTCAGCACAGAGCCCAACGTGAGGCTCGAACTCAAGAACCGCGAGACCATGACCTGAGCTGAAGTCACATGCTCAACCGACTCAGCCATCCAGGCACCCCCATCAGTTGCCTTTTAGTTTTGCTGATTGTTTCCTCCTCTGTGCAGAAGCTTTTTATTTTGATAAGGTCCCAATAGTTCATTTTTGCTTTTGTTTCCCTTGCCTCTGGAGACATGTTGAGTAAGAAGTTGCTGCAGCCAAGGTCAAAGAGGTTTTTGTCTGCTTTCTCCTGGAGGATTTTGATGGTTTCCTGTCTTACATTGAGGTCTTTCATCCATTTTGAGTTTATTTTTGTATATGGTGTAAGAAAGTGGTCCGGGTTGATTCTTCTGCATGTCGCTGTGCAGTTTTCCCAGCACAACTTGCTGAAGAGACTGTCTTTATTTCATCGGATATTCTTTCCTGCTTTGTCAAAGATTAGTTGGCCATACATTTGTGGGTCCATTTCTGGGTTCTCTATTCTTTTCCATTGATCTGAGCGTCTGTTTTTGTGCCAGTACCATACTGTCTTGATGATTACAGCTTTGTAATATAGCTCGAAGCCCATGGTTTGCCCATTTTCAAATGAATTCTTACATGTAGTCTCAGTGTATGTTCTCCCAGGTGTCAGGCTGGTTCCCATTGAGTATTTGTGTTACAATTCATTTTTTTCTTTTCTGAAGTGTATATATGTTGACTCATTTTTTTCATCACTTGAAATATATTGACTTAACTGTTTGAGCCACTATGCTCCACTTTAAGTTAATTCTTATATGCACTCATGTTCCAGGCTCTGTTTGGAGTCCTTTATCTGTGTTGACTCACGTGGCCTTTTTAACAACCATGAGGTACAGACTCTTACCCCATTTTACACAACAGAGAACTGAGACACATAGGGATTAAGTACCTAGTACAAGGTAGTGGCTGGTTCATGTTTGAACCCAGGCAGTCTGTACTGAACCCAGGCAGCTACCTCAGTTAGCTTTGGATTCCATTCGTACTATCATCTTTAAGACTAGCAACTTTATTTAAATAACATGTGTATTTTGTTTAATTTCTCACTATTCCTAGTGTTCATCATCTTTTGCTTTAGTCCATTGTATATGTCTCTCATGTTTGCTTCTACTCTTAACTTCCCTAGTCTCTTCCATTTAGTAGTTAACAGTCCTTTTAAGGTATAATCAGATTGCATTACTCTTTGTCTCAAATCCTTACACTGACTTCTCAGGCCATTTAGAGTATACTCCAAAGGCTTTTTTGGGCCTATAAGACCCTTCATAATCTAGCACTGGTACTTCTCTGACATAATTTTCTCCTTTCGGCTCTGCTGTTGAGCTCCAGCCACACACTTTCTGTGTTGCACCTGGTTGCTTGCTGTTCTCTGTGTGGCATCCCTTGTGGTCCACAGATGTTTGGCTTAACTCCTTTCCTTGCTTGATTTGGGTTGCCTTGAAACGCTCATCTTTAACAAAGCCTTTCTATCATATTTAAATTACCAGTGCCTTCTCCACCCAGTCTCATTTATCTATAATCATAGCACTTAACTACTATTTAATATTTTATAGTAGATGTCTTTTTCTATTCTTTTGTTAGATTGTAGGTGGGGGAGGACCTTGTGGGTCTTGTTTACTCAGTGCCTAACACCTAACAGGTACTCAGTAAATTTTTGTTGAATAAATTGAATAAATGTCTTTACTAATGTGTTAGTGCTTACTGGTAAGTGTACATGAGTTTGAAGTTCTCATACTTTTTCTCTCTGGAATCAGACTCTTTGATGGATGCTCAGTATCGGGCATTGGTTTTGCTTATCTCATGGTTTCTCTCTCACAGTCCAATGAGTAAATAGTGTCCATGAGTTTTCTAATTGTGCTTGATTGTTGCGAAACATACTTGTTTTTGTTTTAGTTCTCAAATTATTTTTTGTGGAAATAAAAGTTATGTCATTGTATTTGAATTATAGTATTTAGTATCTTAGGGTATAGAAAATTGTATACCTGAGGTTTTCCAGGAACAATTAGTTGCTGCTTGAGCAACTTCTAGCTACAGCAGTGGTTCTCGACTGTTTATTATCACCTGTCACCTCCAGATATTACAATTAATATGAACTAATTTCCTAGCTCCCCAACAGAGAAGTGCTAAAGAATAAGAGAGAATCTAAATACTAAGAAATAAAATGTTGAGCTTTGGAGGGCCACAGACCATTGCAACATCTAAGGTTTTGTTGCTGTCCTCTCTCCCCTAGTTTTTCTCTTTGAGAGCAATTCTCTCCCCCATCAATTGAGAAGGCATGAGCTGTGTTCACTTTTCTTAAGCTAACCAGTTTCAGATGTTGTATTTTCTTCTAAGATATTCTGAAAACTTTTGGTCAATCTTGATAAAATATGGTTTATCATTGAGTCTTCTACGTGATGTTTATTTAAACATGTTAGTAAAATAAGTGACATGCCTTTCACTGCCCAATTAGGAATTTCGAATTCTTTTCATAATACTGTTTTTACCTTCAGTGTAGACTCTTCAAACATTTAGAATGAAGAAAATCGATTATAATTTAAAACTTTAACATAGATTGTTAATATAGAGAGAGTGAGTCTGAGCAGAGAAGAAGGGCAGAGGGAGAGGGAGAGAGAATCCCAAGTAGTCTCTACGCTTGGTGCAGAGTCCCATGTGGGGCTCAGTCCCATGACCCTGGGATTAGGACCTGAGCCAAAATCAAGACTTGGATGCTCAACTAACTGAGCCACCCAGGCACCCCTAAAGCTTTAACATAGATCTTTAAAGTATTTTGATATTATTTCTGATTTTGAGTAAATGAAATCTTGGACCTATTCCTATTTTCTAACACATGATTTCTAATCTCTAGTAGCTTCAGAAGTTTGGGAATTATATTTACCTTTTGTTTCAGTTACAAACCGGTGGACCATAAACTTATTTGGCTGCCCTTACGGGAGGCATTTGAAGAACTCTTTGCCCAGACGTTTTCCAAGAAGCAAAACTTTACATTCTTAGGACACATTCAGACCTGTTACAGGCAGAAACGGTGGCATGATCTCCTCAGACTAATGCAGCATGTACACAAGTCGGCCGTCAACAAGGATGGAAAAGAAAGTGAAACTGGTAAGAACAGGACCCATACTGCTAGTGGGAGGCCATGAGGCTTTGGCTTAATTAGTAGAATTGAAACCAGTGACCAAAGGGTTAATGGAACTAATAAGCACAGCTACAGACTAATAAACCAGGCTGCAGTGTTTTCCTTTAAATATCCGTGCCTCTTCTCCTTCCGGGAGACAGATTTGAGGCTTGCTCTCCCGTCTCCTTGTCTCACTGCCTCTTTTTTTTGTTTGGTTTTTAAGATTTTATTTTTAAGTAATCTCTACACCCAAAGTGGGGCTCAAACCTACAACCCTGAGATCAAGAGTTGTGCGCTGTATGAGTGCCAGCCAGGCACCCCTTGGCTGCCTCTCAAGTAAACCCTTTCCTTGCTACATAATCGACATCTTAAATGGCTTTGCTGTGTGTTGGGCACATGAACTGGAGTTCAGTTACAAATTTGGTGAGCCAGCAGGAGCTTTTTGCCAGTGGTTCATGAGCCCCCAGCCGTCAACAACAATCTGGGGGAAAGTCTAAGCAGCTGCCTAGGCTCTTTTTCCTAAGGATGACACTCCCTGCCCTGACTGGGTGCTGCCATCCCTCAGTGTTTAATTTAGCATTCATGGGCAGGGAATGGTTTTTGGTTTGGGCAGATGTGTCTTGGTGAGGTCATTTCTTCCTTCCATTTGGTTTGGCTCTCTTAGCATCCTTCCCTTGCTTAATTAGAAAAGGTTGACTAGGAAGCCATTTGGTTCAGTTGGTGAAGCCCTGACTTTTAGGGGAGGAACCAGTGCTCACAGAGGTACTCTGGGTTTCATTCATTTGGTTTGTTGTTGCTTCTTTGGGGATCTTTGGGTAAAATCAGCTGCATTGTAATTGGAAAATGGGAAATGACAGTTTGATTCCTGAATGCAGCCTTTTGGGTTATATTCTTTAAAACTGAGCAGTGCTTAGTTATGAACCCATGAAAGGAAAAAGATGATCTTTTTTGCGACACTGCTTGGTCATAATATTCATTAGACTCCAGGTAATGATGACCAGTTAATGAATCCATGCGTTATAATACCATTTGCAGTTGGATTTGTTTTGTAAGATTTTGTTTGCATCTTTTTTGTATATTCATGCGTTCATGTATGTTGTAAATATGAGAAATTTTCTCCACCTTTGGATAGTATTGCTAAAATTAGTTTGTAAAGGAGTTATATATAAGTTGGTTTAAAGGCAAGTGCTTGTGGGGCACCTGGGTGGCTCAGTCGGTTGAACCTCTGACTTCGGCTCAGGTCATGATCTCACAGTTTGTGAGTTTGAGCCCCATGTCGGGCTCTGTGCTGACAGCCTGGAGCCTGCTTCGGATTCTCTGTCTTCCTCTCTCTCTGCGCCTCCCCTGCTTGCATTCTCTCAAAAATAAATAAACATAAAAAAATTAAAAAAAAAAAGGCAAGTGCTTGTAAGCATTCTAGACTAGAATGTAGACATTCTAAAGCTCAGAAACTAATGTAAGTTTTTCACATTTATGTGATCTGAAAAAATATTTGGTATTAAAGCTAATTTAAGGTTGTTGGTTTAAGGTTGTTTGTTTAATAGACGTGTCTTTAGAATTAACAGCATTACTTTTATTCTGCTTCGATTTACTTAAGTCAAATAAGTGGATACAAAAAAAAATTTTTTAAATATATGTTTCTTGGGAGAATGACTTTCTTCTAAAGTTTAGATTGGCAATCTAAACGTAACTATTAAGAAAAAAGAAACGGATATAAATAAATAAGATAAAAAAGTTTATAGGTTGGGGAGCCTGGGTGGTTCAGTTGGTTAAGCACCTGACTTCAGCTCCAGTCATGATCTCTCGGTTTATGAGTTCAAGCCCGCTGTTGGGCTCTGTGCTGACAGCTCAGAGCCTGGAGCCTACCAGAGATTCTGTGTCTCCCTCTCTGTCTGCCTCTGTCTCTCTCTCAAAAATGAATAAACATTAAAAAAAAGTTTATAGGTAAACTTTTAAGTAGCTTTCAAAATCTTTGGTCACCTGTAAAGTTTTACAAAGTTAAATGATGGGTTAAGTAAATTAAGTATCTATATAGTTTCCAGGTAAGAAAACATTAATTACTAAACATAGTTTTATCTGCTTTTGGCTTCCTGTTACAGAGAAACTAAAGATATTTGGGTTTATTAGTAAACTTGTTTTATGGTACACTGAAATAAGGCATACATTTCTAAAAATTCTTCAGTGTAGTCATAAGTTTACCAATATAAAAAATGCCAACACAACAAACAGTTTACAATTAGTTACTACTTAGTTTTTACCAGAAACTTAAGATTTTTAAGAGTTAAGAATTCTAATACATATAATTAGAATTACTGGAAATGATAAGGGAAACAATTCATATATGCAAGGAAAGTGAGACTAGGTATGTAAAGAGGAAAAATGTAGGTCAAAATATGAATGTAAGAAGGAAAGTTGTAGAAGGTTTGTGAGAAGGGAATCTTTGGAAAGGAATTTTTGTGCATGGTAGTCACTAAGATTAATGATATTAGTTGTTTTTTTGTTTTTGTTATTTTTTAATTTTATTTTTTATATTTTAAAATTTACATCCAAATTAGTTAGCATCTAGTGCAACAATGATTTCAGGAGTAGATTCCTTAGTGCCCCTTACCCATTTAGCCTATCCTGCCTCCCACAACCCCTCCAGTATGTTCTCCATGTTTATGAGTCTCTTCTGTTTTGTCCCCCTCTCTGTTTTTATACCACTTTTGTTTCCCTTCCCTTATGTTCACCTGTTTTGTCTCTTAGAGTCTTCATATGAGTTGAAGTCATATGATTTTTGTCTTTCTCGGACTAATTTCACTTAGCATAATACCCTCCAGTTCCATCCACATAGTTGCAAATGGCAAGATTTCATTCTTTTTGATTGCTGAGTAATACTCCATTGTATATGTATACCACATCTTCTTTATCCATTCATCCACTGATGGACATTTGGGCTCTTTCCATACTTTGGCTATTGTTGATAGTGCTGCTATAAACATGGGGGTGCATGTGTCCCATTGAAACAGCACACCAGTATCCCGTGGATAAATGCCTAGCAGTGCAATTGCTGGGTTGTAGGGTAGTTCTATTTTTAGTTTTTTGAGGAACCTCCATACTGTTTTCCAGAGTGGCTGCACCAGCTTGCATTCCCATGTTTTTGTTTTTTTAAAGAGAGAGAGCGTGCACACAGGGGAGAAGGGGAGAGGGGCAGAGGGAGAGAGAGAAAATCCCAAGCAGGCTCCTCCCTTAGCATGGAGCCCGACACAGGGCTTGGTCCCATGTCCCTGGGATCATGAACTGAACCAAGAAAAAAATCAAGAGTTGGATGCTCAACCTACTGAGCCACCCAGGAGCCCCAAGATTATGGATATTAGTATATAAAGTTTATTAGGGAGTGGTCTATACCTGGGTAACAGAAAGGGGTAAGAGAGCAAGATTAAGCAGAAATTGAGCAGTGACACACTATCAACAGAAGCCATAGCTGATTCTCTGAGAGTTCCAAAAGTTGGATTTTCTTGAGACCATCCTAAATTGGGGCTGGACTTCTATAATAGTCATTGGATGTGACCACCTGGGAAGAGGGCATGCCCTTGGCAAAGCAATTGTTCATTCAGTCAAGGCAGTCCCTGATGGCATCTGAGAGTTGAGGACTGAGAGCCTTTCATTTCTTTTTTTTTTTTTTCCTTTTTTTTTTTTTTTTTTTTTTTTTGAGAGAAAGCCAGAGCAAGAGCATGAGCGCAAGTAGGGGGAGGGGCAGAGATGGGGTGGGGAGGGGAGGGGAGAGGAGGGGGAGAGAAAGAAAGAGAATATGAATCTTAAGCAGGCTCCATACCCAGCACAGAATCCATCAAGGGGCTCAATCTCAAGATCATGACCTGAGCTGGATGGTCAGCCAACTGAGCCCCCCCCAGGCGCCCCGAAAGCCCTTCATTTCTGATGGAGATTCTGGTTAGCACGTCACCGCACGTGCCACAAGAGATCAGATCTGTGCAGTGCCCTAGATGTCCTTGTCCCAATAACTATATATCAACATTGGAGATGACAGGGAGGAAAAAAGGAGGGACTGCGTACATTTTAAAGAATTCATCTTGTTGGAAGAGTACGTTTTAATACAGGAAGTATACTGGTATAAAACTGGAATTAGGTTTTTCTGTTAAAATGACAGTTTCCTTCGGTTATTGGCCTAATAAGAAATTATAAACAAAGGTTTTTCTTTATCATTAATGTAACCTGCTTAGAAAAACAAAGTTTCTATGTTTTGTCTCGGTTAGATCCTTGATTATTTAAGAAAAGACTTCAGTGTTGCTAACAAATCTGTAACCTTCTGTATTTGCCTTTAGAATCTCTTATTGCTGCCTTGGCTAAATAGATAATTAAATACTAAATTTTGTAATGATTTGTAATCCTGTTTTGGCATATGCTTTAAAAATTTCTCATATTTCTGACAGACTTCCCAAAATTCAGCTTCTAAATGAAGTCTTTTTTTTTTTACCAACTAGGCTTATTTGGTATATCAAATCACATGGGAAGCATGGTCAAATAAGTGATGATAAACCTTCTGAGGTTATAAGATTTTATTATATCATCACTTGTAATTCTAATTATTGAAATGCTGACAAATTTCCTTGTCAACTGCATTATAATGAAGTCCCATCATATCTTTAACCGTGGCCATTTTGTAATCTTTTGTCATTTATAGTTACTATCTTACTCTGATGACCTTGCAAATACCTTTCACCTTTAATGCAATGCAAGGAAAGAACTTTTGACAAATACAGTTTTCTCATATCTTTAAGATCATAAAACTGAACTAGGTGTAAATTTCTGGAACTAATGAAAAAACTGGATTCAAGCAGAGTAACATGGGACTGAAAGAATTAAGAAAAATGGTTTCATTTTTATGACTTTTGTTTGAAACATTGCTGGCTCTTTAATGTTTGCCCTTCCAGATTTAAGGAAAGTTTTTCTCTTAAGCTGTGACTTGCAGAAATTTAATACAGTATTCCTTTGTAAACAAATACGAAACATTCATTTTTTTCCCCTACCTGATTCCTCCAGAATTCAAAAATTCTCAGTGAATATTCTTATATTTTCATGGCAGTTATTATTATTAGCATAAGTTCTCTAAGAATCTGTTCTATTTGTAACAGAACACCACTGGAAACATTGGTTATATTACCAAGGCTCTGACTGGAATGTCCTATTTGAGTGTAAAATGCATAGACTCAAATGTGACCACATAGCTTTAAGGATCTAGGTTGACTCTATGGAGCCCATAAAGCCCCTTAGGAATACCAACTTGATACCTTGCTTATAGTGTTTCTAGCAGCCTTATCAGGCCTAGCTTTGAGAGCCCACCTGCAGGACTGCCTCCTGAGCTAAGACAACTGTTGAACAGAACTAACCTATTAAGACTAAGACTGGTTTATAACACCTGGAGTAAACCTCATATCTAGGGTCAGAACAGGTAAACTCAGGCCAAGAAGAAACAATATTGAATTGTGAGGTTTTTCTAACAAAACAAAACCTTGTCAAAAGTGGAGAATGTTAATTTTTTTTTAATGTTTATTTATTGGGGGGGGGGGGCAACGTATAGAGAATGCAGAGCCTAACACGGGGCTCGAACTCATGAACCATAAGATTATTATCTGAGCCGAAGTTGGACACTTAACAACTGAGCTACCCAGGCGCCCCAAGAATGTTAATTTGTAATGGTATACAAGGACTTTGACTATACTGTGGTAACCCATCAACAAAGCTGAAGCCCTTTCCTTAGTACATGCCCATGGGGCTAGTTGGAAGGGAAGGGGACTTTTGACCTTGGAGAAAACAAGACAAAAAACAGAAGAGCCAGAATCACCCAAACCTTGGATGACACACCTTGAGCACAGATTTCACCCACCATCTTTGGAACAAAATTTTGCTAACTATTCTTGTGAGCCCCAACAGATCTTAAGGTATTTTTTAGGAGACGGACTAACAGATGAGTGTGATTACTTCAGGTTACTGGTTTTGCTATTTTGTTGAATACTTTATAGCAGTTTGAATCCATAAGCAATAAAGGCTAGACACCAGGTGAAGGTTTTTGCACATGCTTGGAATGCCGCTGTCAGAACAGCTCTGTCTCTAATAGAGGAAAAGATAGTGGCCAGATTTCCTGCTTTTTTACTGCACAAGGATCTGAATATGGACATGCAGAAAAATAGACCAGATGGGTGTACCCACATGGTGGCCCCTGGAGCTGACTGAACCCACCTGGTCAGAGTGGGAGATGCTGTGTTAGCCCTCCAGGATCCACCTGCTACATTATAAGAATATTCTTCTCCACAGTTAAATATTTCCTGAATTCACCTGCTTACTGTGTCATTGGTGTCACAGGCCAACCCCTACCATGAAGTAATGCCAGTTGACTTTGAGGAAACACCAAGACTTCAGTCAGGCAGCTGGCTTTTAAAGGAATGAGGAGATTCAATAGAATTCATTCAATTGTGTTTGAGACTGGTTCCAACACCAGTGAGAAATTCACCTAACAGAGCCTCAGAGCATCACTATGAAAGAATTGGTTGGTGATAATGCAGTTGTCACCACAGCAAAAAAATGGGATGTAGTGATAAGAAAGAGCATTGGAGATGCAGTTCTTTCCCAAATTGTAAAGCCCCTTATTCTTGATGAAGTTTATTTGCTGCATGATGAAGATAAGGACTTTAGCTGTGCCTGGTAGTTTGTCTGGTTGCTCAAGATGTCAGCTTTCCGATGTTGCTTCAAAACAACCAAAGAAGACACTACTAGTTTGTTCAAGCAGAATGTACAGGTTAAGCTAAGTACCAGAGAATATTACCAAGAAAGCACGAAGTTGTTTGATTCCTCAAACCGTGAAACTGCACCCTGTTTCAGCAGGAAGTAGCAAGAGCTGTCATCCCAGTTCCTTCAGGAATAAAGCATGATCAAAAGACAATGGGGATTGAAACTGGTAACCAAAGGGTTAATTGAACTAATGATAAGTGCAGCTGCAGACTAATAACCACAGATGCAACTTTTTTTTTTTAATTTTTTTTTCAACGTTTATTTATTTTTGGGACAGAGAGAGACAGAGCATGAACGGGGGAGGGGCAGAGAGAGAGGGAGACACAGAATCGGAAACGGGCTCCAGGCTCTGAGCCATCAGCCCAGAGCCCGACACGGGGCTGGAACTCACGGACCGCGAGATCGTGACCTGGCTGAAGTCGGACGCTTAACCGACTGTGCCACCCAGGCGCCCCGCACAGATGCAACTTTTTACCCACATCTGTTTTCGTTTGCCTTTAAATATCCCTGACTCTTCAGGCTTGCGTATTTGAGGCTTGCTCTCCTGAGTCTCCTCATTTGGCTGCCTCTTAAATGCATCCTTGCTCTCTGTTTGGCTTTGCTGCATGTCAGGCAGACAAACTTGGGTTCAGTTATAGAATTAGGAGAGGAGTTTGGGGAAGAATGAAGCAATACAAATTGGAGCTTTCTGGGATTTAGGGGCAAAGATGACTAATTCTGAAGTATTGCTGTTCCTGTGATTCTAGGCAAGATTTCCATAAAAACATGGTTGGAGATGTTGATGTACCAGTACCACTTACTGGTCACTTAATCTTATTTCCTTAGAAAATAAGTTCTTCAAAAAGCTAAGTTCTATAGCCAAAGGGGTTTTGGTAGCTTAGTTGTCTTCTATGTGCTTTCTTATCCCTAAAATGGGAGTAAGAGTACCTACTTGAAAGGATTGTTGTGAAGGGTAAAAAAATTAACTAATATACACATGAATATATAAATGACCTGATTAGTATAGTTGCTGGTACATAGCATTATATAAGTGTTAGGACTTATTTTTTAGTATGTCTAAGATGTTTGATATTTGTATGAGTTTTGTGTGTGTGTAAGTTAAATGTATTACAACTCAAAATGTGTGTTACATTCTTGTCTTTATTCTTTCCTAGGGTTACTCCTAAAAGAGAAATGGGAAGCATTTGGTCTTAGACTCAGCCATGCTCAGCAACAGATGAAAATGACTGAAAATGCCCTCTTGTTTGCATTCGTAGAGGTATTTTGCTTTGGCTGGCTATCTAGGTTAAGGGAATGTTGATTTGATGCAAAATGCAAGTTTAGGCAGGCTACTATTACTGTTGATGTTTTTAGTGCTTGCTGTTTAAAATTTAATAAATACTAATATTTTGTGGGGAGGATTTCTGAAAAATGTCCTTTATGGAAATTGTAAGGTCTTGATAATCACCATTATTTTTTTTTAATTTTTACATTTATTTATTTATTTTTGAGAGACAGAGAGAGACAGAGAGAGACAGAGCACAAGTGGGGGATGGGCAGAGAGAGGAGACACAGAATCCAAATTAGTCTCCAGGCTCTGAGCTGTCAGCACAGAGCCTGACGCAGGGCTCGAACTCACAAATTGCGAGATCATGATCTCAGCTGAAGTCAGACGCTCAACCGACTGAGCCACCCAGGCGCCCTAGCACCATTATTTTTAAAGTTGCAGTTGAGGATGACTAGTGAAGTCTGTTTCATGGCGGGGGCCGTGGCCGGGAGATTTGAGTGTGTTCTCTTTAGGCCTTACTTTCTATTCTAGTAAATGGATAGTTCTATTGTTTTCTGTCCTGTGACCTGTGGGAAAGATCATCTTAATTAAATTTTCATGATGGAAGCTTATTAAATTCTTTTGTGGCATAATTGACTATGCCCTGAGAAAGGTAGGAATCTTATTTGAGATGGTGTTTTGGTGAGAGAGCAAGATCATTCAGTCATATGTGCATCAGTATGGGAAATTTGGTCATCATTGCTTAATCTTAGTAGGATTTATTTCTAAAATCACCCATTAGGATGTCAAGTGCTTTCAAAATAGGGTTTATACCTGGGAATGCAAGCTGGTACAGCCACTCTGGAAAACAGTATGGAGGTTCCTCAAAAAATGAAAAATATAGCTACCCTATGATCCAGCAATTGCACTACTAGGCATTTATCCAAGGGATACAGGTGTGCTGTTTCGAAGGGACACATGCACCCCCGTGTTTATAGCAGCACTATCAACAACAGCCAAAGTATGGAAAGAGCCCAAATGTCCATCGGTGGATGAATGGATAAAGAAGGTGTGGTGTGTGTGTGTGTGTGTATATATATATTTACATACATATATATACATATATATGTGTGTGTGTATATATACATATATATATACATACATATATACACACATATATACACATATATATGTGTGTGTATACACACACACACACACACACACACACACACACACACACAATGGAGTATTACTCGGCCATCAAAAAGAATGAAATCTTGGCCATTTGCAGCTCTGTGGATAGAACTGGAGGGTATTATGCTAAGTGAAATTAGTCAGAGAAAGACAAAAATCATATGACTTCACTCACATGAAGACTTTAAGAGACAAAACAGATGAACATAAGGGAAGGGAAACAAAAATAATATAAAAACAGGAAGGGGGACAAAACAGAAGAGACTCATAAATATGAAGAACAAACTGAGGGTTACTGGAGGGGTTGTGGGAGGCGAGATGGGCTAAATGGGTAATGGGTACTAAGGAATCTACTCCTGAAATCATTGTTGCACTAGATGCTAACTAATTTGGATGTAAAATTTAAAAGATAAAAAATAAAGTAAAATAAATAAATAAATAAATGGGAAAAAAAGGGTTTATACCTATTTTATGATTTGACATTACAGTAGAGTTCAATACATTTGTTCTGTTTTATTGTTTTCAATTAAATTTATTGAAGATTCTGTTAGGATCATCATGAAAGCAAAAGTACAAAGCCATTTAATAATAAAACAATCCAATTTTTGATGTTCTGTCACCTGAGTAGATTTTAATATTTATCTTTCAGTGTTCTTGGAAGTAGAACTTGAAGAGATAACTCAGTAAAGATGAGAAAGATTTATTAAAAAAAATTTTTTTTTTCAACGTTTATTTATTTTTGGGACAGAGAGAGACAGAGCATGAACGGGGGAGGGGCAGAGAGAGAGGGAGACACAGAATCGGAAACAGGCTCCAGTCTCTGAGCCATCAGCCCAGAGCCTGACGCTGAGCTTGAACTCACAGACCGCGAGATCGTGACCTGGCTGAAGTCAGACGCTTAAACCGACTGCGCCACCCAGGCGCCCTGAGAAAGATTTACTTTGATATTCTTCAACAAATGTGAAAGGCTATGTATTACAACCACTGTACCTTCTTGATTTAGTCATTTATTTCATCTTTGCATACTCGTCAGTATACTGACCCTGTATTTATTTTGGGTGCTTTTAATAACCATTTGGGCACCTATAAACATCTGAATACATTATAAGTTACCAGTTACCTCACCATGTATCTCTTGAGATGATTTACTTTGTTGCATCTCTCTGTTAGGCTCAAAGATATTCCCTTGACCCTTTTGGACATTTAAAAAAGGTTGTTTTGGCCTTAGCTCTGAAAACAAGCTGGCAGCCATTGGGCCTTTAGGGTGAAAACTCATCAAGTACAAGAGGTTTGCCCTTGCCTCTTATTTCTAACCCTGCTTGCATAACTGCTCTTGGTGAGTGTATCTTTATTTGAAATGGATTTTTAACATTTTACTTTATCTTTTTTTAGGGTACACTAGCTCAAGCCGTAAAGAAAGGAGAGTGGATCTTATTGGATGAGATTAATCTGGCTGCTCCAGAAACATTAGAATGCCTCAGTGGTTTACTCGAAGGCTCCTCTGGCTCACTGGTGTTGCTAGATCGAGGAGATACAGGTAGCACTTGATCCCTTTGGGGTTTGACTTGGCACCAGGCCTTGTGGCCTCTTTAGAGTAAGATTCTTTTGGTTAGGTGTGTTACATAGGTCTCCCAGTGTTCATTCCATAGTACTAATTTTCTGCCAAGTTAGGTAGCATGGGGAATGCAAAGAATAAGATAATTTGTCAAGTTACTTGGGTAGTAGGTAATAGATGTGCATACTCAGTGACAAAATATCTGCTGTTCAATATAATGAACAACGATACTTTAAAAGATGGTGGAATGGCAGTAGAAGATTAAGGGGTATATAGGCCTGGAAACTGTTCAGTGGGGTTTCAGAAAAAGCAAGGATGGTTTAAGCAGCAAGCAGTAACAGTCTGAGGCAGGGTGTCTTGGCCTTTAGTTTTGGGGCGTTAGATAGTCTTCCTCTGTGGACCTAAGGCTGATGACTTGATGTTACCAGTAGGGAATTTAGAATTTTCTCTTAACAGAACCACTGGTTCGTCATCCCGACTTCCGTTTATTTGCCTGTATGAACCCAGCAACAGATGTGGGCAAAAGGAATCTTCCACCAGGAATAAGAAACAGGTGAGGAGACATGGACTGGTTCCTGGGGATGGATGAATGGATGGATGGATGGACGGACGGACGGACGGACGGATGGATTTATTTATTTATTTATCTATCTATTTATTTATTTATTTATTTATTAAGTTCTCTTTGTTTATTGATTGGTAACACTAACACAACCAAACCTCATAACAATGCTTGAGATTTCTTGATCTCTGGTAAGCGGAATCCTTCCTTATGTGTTATATTCCTCTACTTTCTCCAGATGGTAGGAATACAGAGGACTCCAAAACACTGGAGAATTTTTCCTTTAGGTTGTTAGTATGACACTTAATGGATCATGGATATTGTTGAAAACAAAATTTTGTCCTCCTTCAAATATCTTTGTAGTTACCAGAGAAATTTCACATACTGAGAAATGTTTAAGTGCATTTTAGGAATGGAATCCCTTTGGACGAGACCAGTGATTTGTAAAAAGCCTTTTAAGTTTCAGTTTTCATCATTAAGCACTGACTGACACCAACAAGGTACTTAGTTGTTGGTATCTTATATATGTAGCATTTGGGAAAAGGTGAATGATCTAATTTTGTTGGTGATCTTTTGTTGAATTTCGAGTTTTATTTTTTATTATTTTTTTTTTCAACGTTTATTTATTTTTGGGACAGAGAGAGACAGAGCATGAATGGGGGAGGGGCAGAGAGAGAGGGAGACACAGAATCGGAAACAGGCTCCAGGCTCTGAGCCATCAGCCCAGAGCCCGACGCGGGGCTCGAACTCACGGACCGCGAGATCGTGACCTGGCTGAAGTCGGACGCTTAACCGACTGCGCCACCCAGGCGCCCCGAATTTCGAGTTTTAAAATGGTGTTAAAATTTTATTAGATTCCTCCCTCCATTATATGAGTAAAAATAAATTTCTTAGGAAAATGTTATAAACTTCCATATGTATTTTCCTTTGCTCCTACAATTTTATCATTTTTTCCCCATGATTTTATTTTTGATGGTGATGTTGATCCTGTTCTGTTGTTGTTGCAGCGTGTATGTTTTATTACATGTAGTTAGAATCAAAAACACCTCTGAAAATGAGGACAAATGTCTTTTGTAACTCTTTCTTGTAAGGACTGTACATCAAAAACTTCATTACATGCAAATAAATTTTTGGCAACAGTTATCTTTCATTTCATTATGGTCCATATGTATCTACATGAAAGGCTTTTATTTATTTATTAAAAAAATTTTTTTTTCAATATATGAAATTTATTGTCAAATT